AGAGAATAGATAAAAGCAAAGCAAAGATTTGAACTGCACATGTTTGCTAAATGTAGAAGCCAAGGTTATTTTGTTTAAACACAGTGGCTGCTTGCTTCATGAGTATAGTCATGGCCAATGCTTTTTAAAATAGCTCTTCTGAAACCCCAAGTTGGAGGTAATGAGCCCCTTTCTTCTCACTATTTTTCTGAACTGCCAGGAAAATTGTATCCAACTCGAAGTTCATTTATTAAGTCAATCTGTATTCTGTGTTTCTAGCTTATTGAAAACATTATTATTCCAATGCAATAAGAGACCCAGACATGAATAAGGTCACCCCATATGATATCTGTTGCTTTGTAAGAAATAACCATAGGTGTGTGGTGGCGCACACCTTTAATGCCAGCACTTGGGAGGCAAAGTCAGGCGGATCTCTGTGAGTTTGAGGCAGCCTGGTCTACAAAGCGAGATCTAGGACAGGCATCAAAACTATACAGAGAAACCCTGTCTCAATAAAAGAAAGAAAGAAAATAACCCCCAAACTTACGGGCTTAATATAGAAATGATCCTTTGTTCTCCCCCTTAGTTTCCGTGGGTCAGGGGTCTAGAGATGTGCTTGGGCTCTGATATTCAGATGATAAGTGAAGATTCCATGACCTCAAATCTTTGTCAGTACATGCCTGGTGAATGGGTTGTCCAGAGAGAAAACGGTAAGCTCTCTCTGCATTTGACCTATGCACATTGATGGCCTCAGGGAGACATTTTTTATATGGGCTCAAGTGAGTCCTGCCAACTTTCAAGGACAGGGAAGTTAAGTTTCATCTTTTGCAATGAAAGGCGTGAGGAAATTTGTAATACATTTTGAAGTCACCAGAACACTTAAAAATTGTGTGGTCATGCTGAATTTTAGGATGCCATCTGTATGACTGATTCCTTACAGACTATGTCTTAGCCAGGGTTTCTACTGCTGTTATAGAACACCAGGACCAAAAGCAACTTGGGAGAGAAAGGGTTCATTTCATCCTACACTTTCAGGTAACAGTCCATCTCTGAGGCAAGTCACAGCAGGAAGTTAGCAGGGCAGAAACCTGGAGTCACAAATGGATACAGAGGACAAAGAAGAATGCTGCTGACTGGCTTGCTCCTCATGGCTTGCTCATCTTTCCTTCTTATAGCACCCAGGACCAGCAGCCCAGTGGAGGATTATCACCGACATTGGGCTGGGACCTTCTTCATCAATTATCAATCAGGAAAATGTATCACCGGCTTCCTCAAAGGCTAATCTGGTGGGGTGTTTTCTCAGTCGAAGTTCCTTTCCTCAAATGACTCTAGCTCATGTCCAGTTAACAAAAAACTAAGTAAGACAGGCTACATCATTTTAAAGACACAGAACCTTTAGAAGTAAGCCAGCCCCCACTCCTTTGTGGTCCCCCCCAAACCCCGTGAGAAAAAATGCAGTGATGCACTTGTCATAGTAACTAACTCGTATAATGTGGAACAGAGGTTTCCTTTCGTTACAGCACAGGTGAGAACGTGCTCAAAGGAACAGGAAGTCAAGTTGGGAGGAGGGTCTCGTGAAGTCAAAAATGTGTGATGTGTTTGATGACTTTGTGTCTTCTTAGGTGTTCTTTGTATATATTCTAATGACAAAACACACCTCTATAAACACCTAGGACTCGATGGTGGTGTTTATTCATGTAGTCATTACTCAATGATACTTATTATGAAGCTACAGACTCTGCCAGGCCTGGGGGATCTGACTGTACTAATAATACAGCATCAGCTCTCCAGGGCATTACACGTTGTAGCGGGGTACTATCCAAATTGTTACAAATGCAATGAGGACTAGGAGAAGAAGACCATAGGGTGCTGTGGAAATGCCAACAATCTCGAGAAGGAGCTGGAATAAGGAATGGATGAGTGAAGCCTAACACCTAGAAACTAAGAAGGAGATACTAAAGAAAGGCAGAGTGTGAGAGTTCGTGGGCTTTTCCTTTGTTTTCTTCAAATACTGCATGGTTCCCTGTGTTTCAAATAGTACATAAGAAAGTTGTAACTACATTGAAATCAATTTTTGTTCTACAGAAGAGTGCTTTTGGTGGATGAGATATGAATGTTGATATTCAGTCATGTTTGGGAATTTGTTTATCAGTAAATCTTACAGAATGTTCTTCCTTCTTACTGCAGAAGGATACATATTGTACCAGCCAAGGTCAGTCCTCTGCAAACAGTTATTTTAGATGGCTGGTGCTGTGAGTAAATTGATTTGCTCACCTGCCAGAACTGTGCAGGAGCATCAGACTGGAGGTTCTATGCGTGAAGTCCTCTCGCCATTAACAATTCCTTTCTGTATCTTTGCAACTGGGGCTCTATATATCTATACATTTTATATTTGGACTTTTTATATCTAGCCACCTACACAGATAATATATTATTCTGCCATCTGTGAACTCCAAAAGAAGCATCACCCTGAATGTCCCTGTGGTTGGAGATCTTTGTGCTCCATATTTTCCACTTGTTACACCAGGACCGTGGTCGGTGGGATGGCTGTGCCACTCCATAAAGCAAATGGGAAGGTGAGAGAGGAAGACATATCTTGCAAGAGGAAGACAATCAGATGGCTTAAGTCCTCTATGAGGGTCCCTTGTAGGAAGAAGACGAAAAGACTTCCTTAGAGCCTTGAATCCTGATCACTAGAGCATGCCTTCCTTCCCCCTGGCCTCCCTGTCATTGTCTTGGGAACAGTCTACTTCTTACCTTGAGATAACCACGTTAATAATTAAGGTGGGACCTAAAATTCACCAGGATGTTGCCATTATCTGTGCTGAGGGTCAGGCTAATGAAGAGTTCACATTCAAATACTTAAGTGAAAGTGCAGAGGCTTGACTCACTAGAATGGATGCTGGCTCCTCAGATGGAGAGGGGTCCTGCACTCTCTATAAGACCACATACTTACTCTGATTTCTGAATGGTAGAATGACCCATAAAACTTGGTGAGAGAGGGGGGCATTTTCAAGACAGTGGATGCTTGCTAAGTGATCAGGAACTTGTTTGGAGATATATCTGTTGTATCTACACTGATGGTGCCTGCTGAACAGGTGGGTGTGTGGAGCAAGATGTACATTTTCCAAAGCAAGAGGTATGCACTGGAAAAGATGCTCAGAGCCTGGCTCTTGAACTTGATAGAAATCACATCTCTCTCTCTCTCTCTCTCTCTCTCTCTCTCTCTCTCTCTCTCTCTCTCTCCCAGCTCTCCCATCAAGTTTACTGATGTTGAGACTAACTTCTAGGAACAACCCAAGTTGTCACAATTCTTAAGCTAATGATAGATGCACAGTTTCAGTCTCTGCTGCCAAAAAAGGCAAGGTCAGGCTGTGGTTGAAAGCCTGGCTCATGCTACTTCGTTTGAATCTCACTCGGGAATCAGGGTCGATTTTTCTAAGTTTCCTGGGTATATTCCTTGTACTGTAAAGCAGGGATTATAGCAGGACCTACCACAAAGCATTGTGAAGGACAGTGAAATGAAGACCCAGGAGGGCCATAAGCACCCTGAATGCTACAGTAGTACTTGGTGCATGCAGCTTTCTATACAGGTGAGTGATGGAAGTGTAGTGAAGCCAATGTTTCTCCCTCTTTTTGCCTCACCCATGGATTGAGGTCATTTCTGAATCCAGACTTCCATCACTCTTGAGCTCCCCTCCACTCTGAAATGGAGCACAGAGCGGGAGGAGGGCCATTGGCACAGGGCCCTGTCCTCACGAAGCGAGCCAGGTTCTGGCCAGGACTGCGCTACATGCAAACTTCTAAGCCACTAGAAATTTCACATCCATGGCAGATGCTGTAGAATGTTCAACAATGAAGATGTGACATGTGCCTTTTGTTGGAACTCAGGAGCAGCACTTCCAGCACTCCATTTCAGATGTTCTTTGTCTGTTTAGAGGCGTGACAGGGACCAGGAAAGATGGATGAGGCTTTGGGCACAACCACGCGAATTCCAATTTTCCTATTGATTTCTAACCAGAATGGCAGGACTACATGGGATAACAATAGAGACTTCAACACAAGGGAGAGGAGCCCATGGGTCCATTACCATAGGCAACCCAAGTGCTGAGAATCTGCTGGTCTCATGGTAAGATCCAGTAAATCCCTTGACTTCCGACTTGGCCAGTTCATAGTCTTCCACTATTTTCACAGAGGCTGTTCTTCTGCGAATTGTACCTCACTTTCCTTCTGTTTGGGTTTTATTTTGAAAGAGTCCCCAGCCCATGGTAGCTTAGTCTACGTGTGTGTGTGTGTGTGTGTGTGTGTGTGTGTGTGTGTAGGTAGATAGACTCTAAGCTGATGCTAGGAGTCTTGGTTAATCACTCTCATCACTCGCCACTTATTCATTGAGACAGTCTCCCCATTGTACCAGAGTTGCTGCTTCAGCTAGTTTGGCGAGGCAGCGGGCCCTGGTTTCCTCGTCTGTGTCTCTCAAGCAGCAGGATTACAGGCAGGACACCACACCCACCTGCTACTTATGTGGATTCCAGAGATTTAACTCACATCCTCCTACTTGAGCAGTAAGGCCTTTCCCCATGGAGCCATCCCCTAGCCCTTACACTTTAGGCTTACCAGGTCATCAGCAGAGAGAACGCTGCAAACCATCCAGTGAGTTTCCAGGAGGGGATTTTCATGGGTCCAGCGTGAATTATGTGTTGTTCTCTGAGAAAATGGAAACAGCACCCTGATTGGCTGGCCCGACACAATCCCCTTAGGTGAAATAGAAGTATTGAATTCAGCCTTCACATTTTAAGAGGAGGGGAACGGCTGGTGGCTTCAAAGTAAAATTGGAGCATTGTTCCCCAGGAAGGCAAAGAGAAAGTCAAAACTGACAGATCCCATTCCAAGCAAGGGTTCAGAACGAAGGACATCAGCACACACATGCCTGTAAAACTGTGAGCCAAGAAACGTTAGTGCAGCAGCTGGGTAAACCTGATGTTGATGTGGATGAACTCTTTTTCTGTGTTCTTTTCTTACAGACAAGACCTCAAGGTCCGTTCACTTGCCGAGCCTCTGGTGAGCCCCCTGCCCTATGCCTGGTGCTAGGCTAGACACTGAGGTCAAGGCAGCTGCAAGACCTTCAAGGCACCCGGGCCTGAAGCCTGCCTGGAAACTGAAACATGCTCCAGCCATGTTCTATTTCTCACCAGCTGGGATTTTCATTTCTTCTTCCTCCTCCTATCAGACTGGGACCTGCTCACATCCCTCTGCATCCTAAGCTCATGGAAGGCATGTCATGAAACGGGATGTAGCATGGGAGATGCAGGTAAGAAATCTGAAGCAAATGACCTCATCTAACCCTCATCAGCCTCCGCCCTGGCTCTTGCCCTCACAGCAGGTACAAGGACAAAAGGCCCATTGTCCTTGGAAGCCTATAGGATAAATGGAGAGAAAACGTGTCTTTGCTAGTTAATCTGCCCTGATAAAGAGTATTGTTTTATCTCCTGCCATCGCTAAGGTCTCAAGGGGTGAATTCTACCGGGGACAAAGTCTGCGTTGTTTTTTCCAACTCACTGAGATGATTAAATTGACCTTTCATATACTCTACGGGTGTCACAAGCCAAGTGCCAGGGTGTTAGAGTGCCCTGAGAATATTCTCCTGTACCCCCACAAGGGGCATGCCGTCTACAGGGATGCTGTGGGGCTGAGAAGTGGTGTGCTTCTCTTCAGCTTCACTTCGAATTTTTAAAATTAGGAACGCAATCCCTTTAGTAAATTCGTGTTTATATTAAAAATACAAAGAAAGTACAACAAATTGTCTCCTTTTCCCCAACACCTTCCTCTAATTTCCCCTAATGGTATCATTTACACTTATGGTTTGCTAAACCAGTGAGAAGGCAGCACCAATACTTTATTATACTAATTACATTAGATTACATCACAAGTACACGGTTTACTGAGGTTACTCTGCATTGTACCCGTTGCCGATTTGGTCAGCGTTATGACACATACCTAGCACTGTATGGAACCATGTGGAGGAGTTTCACTACCTGAAGGTCTCATGTGTCCTACCGGCTCACCCCTCATCTCGCCTCCCACTGTCCCCAGGCAGGTGCCAATGCTTTCACCTGTTCCCGAATGTCATAGAGTTGGAGTCATCACTATGGTCACTCAGACAAGCATCTTTCACTTGGCATCGGGATAACTTTCCCCCTGCTTGTGTGGCTTGATAGCTCATTGCTTTCTACTACTCAATAGTTTCTTGAGGTGCTGGGAATTGAACCCAGGGCCTTTCATGATGGGCAATTGCTGTGCCATGGAACAACATCCAGACCTTATATTGCCCAACAGCTTCTACCTTACTTTAAAAGCCTTTCGTGTGACAACTAATATTCTCGGCCCTGTCTCCCAATTTAGAAAAATCCTCATTGCATGTGTTATTTCAAGAACTAAAATGTCTAAAGAGGCAGTTTCACGTGCGTTTTTGTAAGGCAGAGAAACAGCAAGTTGTCATATGTCAGCTGTGATCTGACTGGATTAAGTTGGCTTGAGTTTCAGGCAGCATCAACATTCATGGCAATTATATCCAGACGCATTTATAGTCATATAATTAGTGTTTCTCCTGAAATAAATGATCTCCTGGTTTCCCCTCCAGCAACATAGGAGGTCCCACTTACAGTTAGTAATATTCACAAATTCACTTTTAATACATTGGTCTAACATTTTTCATTTCTATTTACATTTCTGGAACAGAACATACCTAATCTGTCCAGGAAAGCGGTATGGTAAGGGGTGTTCCTGTTCAGTTATCCTGCAACACAGAGGCTGGGGTGGGAGCTCACTGTGGAGTGTATGGCTCATAGGATGCCAGGGCCGGGGCTGAAGGTCCCTGCCATGCTTGAAGAGATTAGTGTTCTTAAGCATCCAGTTCTCCCCAAGACCTGGTGTATTCATCCATAAACCACAACTGATGATAGTTTCCACCTTCTAAGACTGTTCTGGAGGTCCAAGGGGAAAACCCACGGAGCATATCAACAGCAGAGGCTACAAGAAAAACCCTCGGCAAACAGCAGCAAGCCGTACAGGGACTTTGGTCCATGGAGAAAGGAAGGGCTAAGTCCATTTAGGTGCTCATTAAATTAGTCTGCAGGGGCAAAAGCAGAGTTAATCCTGTCACAGATGTGTTCCTAGATAGCTAAGTCTGTCCCGGAAGCCAGCTTCACTGAGGTAAAGGGAAATGGAAAGGTCAGGGGCCATGTGAAGCGTTACAGAATTGAGCGCACCATGCTTCTTTGTGGGCTCTACCCCTGCTACAACAGGGCCACTGACAATAACTTGCAATCTTCACTCCGCCTGCCTTAAAAGTCCCATTTCCTGAGCAAGTCTGCACTGGAGAGGTCATTAGCAGACAGCCTGATTCCCAAGTAGGTGTGTGTGTGTGTGTGTATGCACACACATGCACACGCTTGAGCACATGTATGTGCTTGTGTGTGGAGGCCAGAGATTGATATTAGGGATCTTCCAAAATTGTCCCCCACCTCATTGTTTTGAGGTAGGGTCTCTTGTAGAATCTGAAGATCACTGTGGTAAGACTGGCTGGCTGCCTAGCCCCAGAAATCTTCCTATCTCTCGTGACTGGAATTATAGGTGTGCCTTAACATTCTAGGCTTTCAAATTGAGTTCTGGGGGATGTAAACTCAGCTCCTCATGCTTCTGTTGCAAACACTTTACTGTTAGAGCTGTGTCTACTGCCGTGTGTGTGTGTGTGTGTGTGTGTGTGTGTGTATGTGTGTGTGTGTGTATGTGTGTGTGTATGTATGTGTGTGTGTATGTATGTATGTATGTGTGTATGTGTCAATAGTTAACTTGAGGTTAACTGAAGGATTCATAATCACTCTTTGCCTCTCCCCAATCCTCTTTCTCCCCTTATATAGTTTTACCATAAGATCGTGATAATATGAGAACTAAATATCAAATTCCATATTATAAAACAGGAGTTCCCACATCTATGCATCCGCCAGTGGGCTCTTGTGCCTCTGTGTTTCAGCTGCAGGTGTTTCTTCCTGTGTCATTGCTGCTCTCTCTGTCTCTGTCTCTGTCTCTCTCTGTGTCTCTGTCTCTGTGTCTCTGTCTCTCTCTGTCTCTCTCTCTCTCTCTCTCTCTCTCTCTCTCTCTCTCTCCTTCTCTCCCTCAGCATCAGTGATGCCCTGAACTTGGCACCTCTTACAGAATGATGACCAGGAGGCAGCAAGACAGGGAGGCTCAGTGGTCTATTGTTCTTGTTTAGAGAGAACAGTTCTTCTTGCATTTCTAAATTACTGCTATATAGAAGAAGGAGGAGGAGAGAAGGGGAGGAGGAGAGGGAGGAAGAAAGGAAGAGGAAAGAAATGTAAATCTCACAGCACATTAGACATTGAACAACATTTTTTTTTCATGATTTACACCCTTTACTTGTGCCGAGCAAGTTTGCTTTACTAGATTACAAACCCAGCACCAGCCTGTTCCCTTACATCTTTGTGTACCCAACAAAGATGCAGATGGGAATCCTAGAGAGCATGCTTGAAGTGATTGTGGGAAGGGAGGCCCTAGGAGATGGGAAGAGAACAACACGATGCTGGGGAAGCTATTGCCTGAAGTGACAACAGGTGGGCTCTATGACCAAAAAACTGCAGCTATCAGCAAAACATGATCTACTGTCGGGCTAGAAATGGACTCAACTGTGTTTAAAAAAAGAAAAGAAAAACAAAGCAATGGTGAATTAAGGTACATTAGCAACCACATGATAGAGTATCAGAAATGAGATAAGCCTAGTGGTTGATGATTATAGACTTAGGATTTGAAGCCAACTTGCAAATTTAACTGTTCATTTCAATAAACCAATCCAACCCTCAAACCTCTGCTTATGGGAAATGAGATAATGCTCACCTCAATATTCTTGAAACTTTGATTTGATAAAATGTACAAAAGTGCTTAGTTCAGGTCGAGTTTTATGAACTGTTCCCTTTTATTCAATTGTTAAGGATTCTGAATGAAGGGGCACACCGCATGGAGCACCACTGAACTTTATCACCATAAAATCTCATATATTCTGAAGAAGCTGGTGAAGCCAGTGTTCTGTCAGAAACAACATGGAAGATACTGTCTTAAATAAATGAAAGCTGAAACTGTGTGTCTTGAGACCTCCATTAAAGCAAGGATTTTGAAGGATGGCTTCTGATTGTTTCTCCAGAACCTTGGGCATCTGGGTCAAAAGCACATCTTCATTGCTGTTGAAAATGGATTCCGTTTACATCAGTCCTATTTACAGCAGCTTTCCTGGGACGAGAATAAAGCAAGGCTCACTCTCCTACTGGCTTGCAAGCTCTGCAAAGTACAGTCTTCTATTGTGACATGTGTCCTGGCAGTACGCCACTGTCTGCCCAACCCTCCTGTAGGGTTAGAACCAACCCTCCACCGCACCCCCCCACACACACACACATCCCATAAAATCACGGAACTCTTGGGAAGGTACTAAGAGCCTGGAAGAAGCATTCAGCATCTCTCTTGAGATGAGTAAATTACGTGGAAGACTATGGGTAGTTTATGATCTGTTGTAGATGTATAATTCAAGGTGCAGCTTGCTGTTTTTTTTTTTTTTTCTTTCTTAAAGCTTAGCAGTGAAACTCATTTTCCACAACTCCCAAATGGTTTTGCAATAAATCTGTGAACTTAATCAGCTTCTTCTGTTGAGGCCATCTCCCCTAATTGTGTTCTCGTGTGAAATAGACATGATGACAAAAATAATACCTCTCTGGAAAGAAAGTGTGGACCTCCATAACCTTGGTAGTAACGGTCTCAGTCCCCGGTGAAAAGGAGTCAGGGTTGTGCTGTCTCCCGCAGTATTTGTCTTCTAGATAATTGCCAGGCTCTTCCTATTTGGTCAACAGTAGGACAAAGAAAACCCTGAACTAAGTGCCTTTGGGACCATAATGGTCTAGTAGCTAAGGGGACTGCCAAGTAGATTTTGAGAAAGTCCCACAAGATGTCTGCAGAGCAACAAGGAATGGTGACACAAATGAGCTCGGAGATGAAACACAGAACCTCAGTGTCTTGATTTCATCTCCTTTCCCGGTCTCTAGGAGCCAATGCCCTCTCTTCGCTACCCTCCATGCCAATAATGGCGGGTTCGCGGGGACCGGGCAGGAATCTTAACACGGCTGATGGCTGACAACTGGTAAAAGAACCTGGTGGAAAGAAGAGTGGGCTTCCTATTCCTCAGTTCTTGGGCTGACATGACCTTCAGAGCTGCAGGGGTTTGTGGGAGTCGGTGGGTGTGGTCTGAGAGGG